GTGTATAAGAGACAGTATATATATATGTATATATATACAGTATATATATTATATATATATATATACAGTATATATATATAATATATATTAATATATATATATATTAGTATACACGAGGCTAGAACGTGTATTAGGTCTACTACGTACCTCTCAAAATTAATAGATGCGATTGTCAAGGCTGAACATAATTGTGACTGGAATTCCAAGAAAAATGTAACTGCACAGACGCTACTATTAGAAGAAAGAAACACTCTAAGATATGTATATAATGGGAAATACGTTAGACAAACTAAAATATCGGCTACTGCAAGGTTTACTAAAAGAATGACGGGTGCACCTCGTAACTGTCTACATCGACGAATAAGGAAAATAACAGCGACATTTCCCGTACATCCAATTATAAATAGAACAATGCAGATACAAGTAAACAGATGATTCAGCCATCCAGGTGCGTTCGCGTAGAAATAAATGTGCAAGTGACATATAGCGTTTCTGGGCATCCTGGCTGTTGTATCTGTATTTTTTCTTAAGTTTAACTTAAGTTTCGTTACTCTTCACACTCTTCACAACGAAAACACGCCTGATGAGAAACAATACGAACAAATTATTTAAGTATACCGATAGTAATAGTAATAATAGTCATACAGAATAAACTGAATGATAATATTAATGTTCATAACAATGATGATTTTAGATAATGAAAATATCAACAACATCAACAGCAACATTAGTGATATTCCCAAGATTCATATGCAGATGGGATACAGTGGCGTAATGGGGAAGTCTCGGGCCTTACGGCTCCTACTACCATGAGGGCCGTGTAGGGCTCAGAAGCCTAATGGGATGCTAGTGTAAATATTCGGCTTCTAGGTTTACTAAACCTTGGAGAGAGACGTACAAATGGAAAATGATGATGATAATAACAACAACAACAACAACAGCAACAACAACAACAACAGCAACAACAACAACAACACCGATTTTAACATATTAAAGCACCATTTTTCAATTCAATAAGACATTAACTTTCTTTCACTACAAACAAAATACAGTAAAAACAAAACATATTAATAAAACGATTACCTACGCTTCTTGTTTTCCCTGCTACAGCAAAGGTTGATGAATCGTCACAAAATGAAAATATCACATTATCGTATATATAGGCTTCAATCACTTTTTTAACTAAACTCGGCGTGAATGAGACGTCATTTGATAGGATCTTCGCAGCAACATTTAGCCCTATTTTATTCCCATATATGTCGTGCCTATATATAGTCATGTTGTGCCTATATATAGTCATGTTGTGCCCATATATAGTCATGTTGTGCCTATATATGACCAGGATGTCATGTCATCATGATTATATCATAAGCATGTCACATATTTTTATCAAATAAAATGTAATTGTTTTGGCAGGGCTACAGCAGAACGAGCCACTGTACAGTTTATCCTTTGGTTTTAAGCCACTTTAAACAATAACATTTGCATTTGTGATGTGATGTAAAAAGATCAATGTATATTTCAAAGCAGAGACATGTCAATTACACTTAGTAAAGGCAAATTATTTTACACTTTAATAATAATAATAATAATAATAATAATAATAATAATAATAATATTAATATTAATATTATTATTATTATTATTATTATTGTTGTTGTTGTTATTATTAATAATAATAATAATAATAATACTAATAATAATAATAATAATAATAATAAAAATAATAATAATAATAAAAATAATAATAATAATAATAATAATAATAATAATAATAATAATAATAATAATAATAATAATAATAATAATAATAATAATAATAATAATGAAAATGTGTTGTGTGCAGGTATCAATCCGTAAAGATGCTCATGTCGCATCGACACCACAATGCACTTCAAATTTTGAACTACACTTATCTTAAAGTCAGTCTTTTGTCTTAGAAAAATCAGTTCTACAAAATATCAAATTTTTTTTTCCTCCGGAGTCTGACTTTAATAATTAACATTAATTTGATACAATTTATTTAATATATAATTTAATTATTAACAAAAATTTACTCTACAATCAATCCACAAGAATTATATTAAAAACAATGCCTACACAATTATTGACAGGTGATATGTATGTGATGACGTGTGTAACGTTCTGAAACATCTCAAAATTGCTTAGAAAATAGCTCAACATTTCCTTTAGTTTTTCAAGGCACTAGGAGTATTCCTGGACCCCACCAGACTTTTTTTCCCAGTAGGCCGAGATCGCATCACGCTGGGCCTCCCTCCACTGATATGCCTAATTTTTAGTGAGACTGTTCACTAAGTTTTTAACCTATAGATTAAAAGAAACGTGTTGTTGTCTATCGCCGTGTTTAGCTCCCTTAAACAGAAATTATACAGAGTGTTCGTACCGGTTTAAAAATGTCCCCAATGATAAAATTCATAAATAAAAATCTTCAAACAATTTGAATGCTGTAAAATAGAAAAAAATGATTCAATAAATCAACATAAATTATACTCATTTTTGAAAAATCTACCAGTAATGTCATTGTCACATAAGTTTATATTATGCTTACTTTTTGCAGGAATAAAAACAAAATTAATAAGTAGTCCACAGATTTTTTTAAATGACATGTTGGCAGCAGAAACTATACTGTGATTGCGTGAGTGACAACAACTAAACTATATTTCAATTGGTCAATTTTTAAAGATTTTTATTGGTTGCGAATCTGTACTGCAGCCAAATAAAAGCCTTTTGGTTTTTAAAATCCCATATAAACAACATGTCTAGTATTCTAGGTGGTTTTGAGAATTATCTCTCTGGATTATTTGTGAGTGATTATCTATTTTTTAGAGAATAAGTACAGAACACCTCCATTATATATTAAAGTTTTAGATTGTTTATTTGGTGATATAATCAGAAACTAGCGTTATACCTTATTTTACGGGAACCTTGACTTATTTATTGCTAGTTTATCAATACTCAGAATGAAGTCAAAAATGTCTGCAAATTTATTCTATTTATTTATTTATTGAACATTATACAGGATAACATATGAGGAGGAAGTAACAACCTGTTTTACATATGGTCCTGTTCTTTGATACAAATTACAGTATAAAAATCAACAAGTTGCCTAATTATAGAATTGAAAATAGACTTGATTACAAATAGGGACTATGAATAAAACATTTAACCTAAAACACAGAATTCATACGATTTTGTTAAAATAAATCAAAGAAGTTAAAATCACATGGTAATGCAAAAGAATGAATGATAAAAGCCTATTGGCAAAATTAAAATAGTAAAATTCAGTAGCAAAATATTAAAAGATGAGTCAAATAGTTTCAAGAAATGAAGCCATATCATAAAATTGATAAAACGAAATGCTAGTATTTTAAAAGCGGTATTTTAATTTTGATTTTATTAATTATAAATTCGATTCTTATATTTCAATTTGAAATTAAATAATTAGATTCTTTTAATATCTGCGGTAGTGTTTCATATATTTGCACCAGCATATATAAGCGAAGTCTTCGTTATATTTAAATTTACTAAATTATTTTAATATTAAAAAATACATATGATTTATGTTTATTTATGGATTAAATTGTTGCTATTTTGCAACATTTAAGTAAGTTGGGAAATAAAAAAAAATTAATGTTATTCATATAATTATAATTCCTGCAAAATATATCATAAAATGACAACTTACTTGATAATAGATTATTTTTAAAAACTAAATTATGCATACTATAATGACTTATGTTGATATTGATTCAAGTATTTTTTTAAATCAGTTTAAATACAAAATGTTATCATTGGGGGCAATTTTTGCCAACCTGTCATTTGGGGCCATTTTTACTGGGACCATTTACTCCTGTGCCAATTTTTTCCGGGGCCATTTTTCCTACAACTCATTAGCTGTTCCTCAATTTAAATACTCCCTCTATTTAGAGACGAATGATCATGAGTTTGGAGGACTCAACTGAACTTTCCCCTCCAATTAAAGACCACTATAAAATAAATAGTGATTTTAAAGCAATTTTAATTTTTCTGTACAATACATTTTGAACTTACACAAAATATTATCCAGTGCATCATACGATGTGTATTAAATGTTTTCTGTATATTGAATAACGATTTGTGTCGGCGGGTAAAGAGGAGTAGGCCTACATGACTTGTCTGGATACCACGAAATGCTGTATTAATAAATAACAGCATGCAGTGACTCTACGTCCACTTTAAATCTATTTAATGTAACATTTCGTATTTACTCCCCAAATAATATAAAAAAAATCTAAATTTCACATTAAGTGCAAATAGCTGAGGTGCCGTCTCCCGTCGAGTGCCAGGATGGAGTCAGGAAATCAGCTGGAAGCCTCGCACACTCCTGCGGCGTCCATGCACTAATCTCGTAAAACAATAAACTTCCTGCAAATTCACGATATTTGCATGTTTTTACAAGTTTTTGCTTCTGTATTATCTCTTGTCAGTGCCAATGGGTATCACATACACAACAAAATATATTTAGATTCTAGAAAACACTTAACCTGATCTTCCAGATGAGGATTCAACTTAGGACCTCTGAATGCCGGTCTGAATTATAGGGGATCCAAAGGCTATAGGTTTAGGAGACCAAACTGACATTTTCCGTCCAGTTAAAGACTAGGCCTATACCTCAAAAAAGTGTTTACAAGTGTATAACACTGCCCTCCCATACCGTTTGTGTTGTTCGTTGAATTGCTCATTAATTACAAAAAATGAAGCCCTGGGTTTTTCTTTTTTTTTTTTTTTTTTTTTTTGAGAATTTGAATGGGCTTTTTTTCGAGTCTACTTTTACAAAGTATAGAGGGCGGGTGGGGAGGGGGGCTTATTTTCAAAATGAATGCTGCAAATTTTGGGAATTATTACGGTACTATAAAACAATTATAGGGCCACTATAACATCAATCAGCATCATAGAGTGTATTAACCGGCATTGAATCACCTAAATTACTGTATAAACAAAGTGCGTTTTAAATTTATATTGTTCCTTTGGAATTATGTAGAGTGTACTGTACTGTCTCGAAAATAAAAGCCCATGCTGTGTTGAAAAGAAGCCCATGGGCTTCTTTTCGAGGCTACTTTTGCAAACTAAAGGGAGGGGCTTCGATTCGAGATAGGCTTCTACTCGAGATTAAGCCCATTGGGCTTCTATTCGAGGTTTTACTGTATATTACCAATACAAAATATTGTAAAGCTCCGTCCAGTTAATCAAATTTCTTTGACAAAGTAAACGGTTGCATTACATAGACAAGATGTGCCTATATATGATCATGATGTGATGTCATGGTCATAACGTGATGTCATCATGACCATAATTAGGTTTGTCACGTGCTCTTTTCATCTAAAATTTGATACTATAGTTATTTACTCATATCTTCATCATCACGTCATTTATGTATTGTGATAGGGCCTACTTTTCGTTATTTATGTTATTCGTTTCAAATCTTCATTTTCTGCATATCTTTTTCT